TGTCAGCTGAGAATAGGAAGAGATAGAGGGAGAGATTTGGGAAGGGGGATGGTGACTGGGGACTGGACTGGGGCATGTGCTCCTCCATGGCAGGCATCCTGCAGGGAGTGCAGCAGCTCGCAGCACTGTGTCCGGATGGCTGTCCGCAGCCCTGGATTGCAGCTGGCTGAAATACCTCAGCAGTGGAAGCTCCAAGGGACAGATGAAAGCAGAAAAGAGATGGGGTCTGTCCTCCAATGCAAAGAAAACCTTGGGGAGGGAGCATTAGGGTCAGCATGGGGGGGGACTGGAGTCACGGCAGGGGAGCTGGGCTTCCCCCAGGGCTGCAAGCGGTAGTGGTGTTGAGTCAGTCGAGATGAGAGGCTGAGGCAGAGGGGTGTTTAATGGGGCTCTGCAAAGGAATTACAGCATGGTTCCCTAAGGAAGCAAAGCCATGTCAGCAGGCCATCTGTGCCTGTCTCTTGCATCCAGCGAGTCTTGAGTCTATCGGCCTGTTTCCGCCACAGCTGATAAAGCGGTGGAGGCCTCCGAGATAATGGGATCCAGCTGGTTTTGTGACTCTAGGTGACTGGCTTAATGAGAGGGGCCTGTGAAGACCCCCTCCGAGGAAGGAGTCCATACACCGCCCTGTAACTAGCTGACAGACAGGCCATGCGGAGAGAGCTGTTGGAAACTGGGCTTCATTAGTTCTGCTGCTTGCAGGATGGTTTTAGGATTTGGGGGAGGAGGAATCCTGAAGTTTTAATAGCACTGGACCTCTTTGCATCCAGCACAGACCTCATGCTGACATCCTTCAAATAGGATATTGTTAGCACTGGGGACATTATCAGATGTGTCTGGTTGCCGTGCCCTGGGGAATCCAGCACCGGTCCAGACTTTGCCTCACAAACGTCTTTCCTTTTCCTTTTTAACTAACTAGCTTGGGGACAGCCTGTTTTCGAGCCTTCTGAGCTGCCCATCGACACCTTTGCTGGTCTGAGCCGCAGGACATGTACCATGTGCCTCCCAGAGGCAAGGGGATGAGGACCTCCTGCAGCAGGGGTGGCTCTAGAGGGTGCCACTTTGGGACTGGATAACACCAGACCTGAGGAAGGGTGCAGCTGGTGACCCTGCACCAGTGGGTTCAGCAACCTCTGATGGCAGGTTTCCTTCTAGAGTAGAGGATATGGATCACTCCACAGCCCACTGTGCCGTCCTAATAGTGATGATGTCCTGGGAAGTAGGTTTTATTGGAGAGCTGAACTGGGAATCAGACGTGGTTCAATCCCCACATGCTGGGCTTATCTCCATCTTACCTTTGACAACTGAAAATCAAACCTTCCAAGTTGGACTTAAAGGTAATTTATGTGGGGTTTCTTCCAGAGTCTGCAGATGTCCTGAGGAAATAGCCCTAAGGAACAGAAATTGCAATGTTCGCCTTACCTATCTATTTATGGCAAACCCAGCGTCGGGGGTGCCTGCTTGTTTCACGCTAATCTGCTCAGTTTACGCTGCTGCCAAATTTCTGCCCCATCACATCAGAGTGTTAGAGGATCCAGGGAGCTGCCGCAGGAATTAGGTCAGGTTTGCGGGGAGGGACGGGCGCTTTGCTTGTTAGTCACAAACCAGAACAACGAGACAAATGGCCGAGGTGACAGGCTGCCTGCCCGTGCGTGCCCTCCAGCGAACGTGGGATCTGTTCTCCCTGGAACTCTGCAGAAGGGCACACTGCCAAAAGAGCTGTTTTGCCTGGAGGCACGCTTGGGTAATGGGTTGAAATGCACGAGCCAAATGCTTTCTCAGTGCCATCGCTGTACAGGAGTTGCTAAGTTTTCCTGACCGCCCCAAGTTGCTCTGCTGCCCAGCCCTCTCTTTGGATATCACAGCACAACGCAGTGCTTCTCCCTCCCAGCCCCACGACAGGGGAGAAGGGAGGTTTGGGAGCCTGGAGACGTGACTTCTTGTCTTAGCTTTCTGCATCGTTGACCTAGCACCTTGTGTCTCCAAATCTTTCTACGTTGAGGAGAAAACATTGCCAAGACAACAGCTGAACGAAGCGCTAGATTCCATGGCTGATTGTTGAGTTGGTTTAGAAATTGTGCAGGCTGTTTACAGGTGGCACCTTAGTGCGTTTGGAGACCCATTTTATCCCTACTCCTGTGTCAGTCATGGCAGGGAACAGGTAAAAGGGATGTGGACAGGAAGACATAGGGAGGACTGGCTGAAATACGTAGCTGCAAAGCTCATTTTTCCCTGTCTGTGTGGAGGGAGTCTGTTGTGAATTGTGTATCTGGTTATATCTAAAAACTTCCTCCCAGCTTTTGCTGCTGCTTCCCCTGAGGCATGAGAATCTGTGCAAGTCCTGCAACCCCAGACATCATTTTGGTGCCCTTTAGTTTTGCCTTCTCTGTGTGGTACTCAAGTTTGTATAATACATGGGATTGCCTCCCAGAGGAGCTTTCAGTACTACAGCTCTAGAGCACTTTGATTTCCTTGCACATCAGGCAGGGCAAAAATGCAAAGCCTTGATTTTACAGCAGACAGCGCAGAGCATTATATGAGGGGTCAAGTCATTTTACGGATTTCCGCAAACTGATGCCATAAGAGGAAAAAGACCTGCAGTCACTGCTGATAGCAGAAAAGCTTTTTACTCGGGTCAGTAGGAGCAGGACAGCATTTCTCCAGTGCAGCGTGGGCTGCTGAGAAAGAGACTTCTGAGATCTTCAAGAGGAGATTTTGTATGGAAGGATGTGCAGAAAGCAAAAAGCAATCTGAGGGGTTGTTTTCAAGCACGTTAACTCCCCACCTTGTGGCAAGGTGGTCTCCCTGCTGGTTTCCCAGAGCATGCGTAATGGCAGAAATCCCTGCTGCTCCCTTTGGGCAGTGGAGCACCGTGGGCTCAGCACAGGCCAGGGGAGGGAGCGGCCAAGGGAGAGCTGCAGCGCGCAGGCTCCCTTGCAAAGCCAAGGAGCTATGATGGCTCTTTTCCTTCGTGCGTGCGGTCTTTCATATATCTTGCTGCAGACACCGCACTGTTTTCATGCAGTCCTACCAGTGCGGAGCAGGCATGGCCGCTCGTAGGACCTTGGGACCCCATGCAGACCTGCACGTGGCACGGTGTGTCAGCGCATCGAGCCGCGCTCAGTCCCGGACATCCAGGCTCAGGCAGGGGCTCGGAAGTGCTCCCGACATCTGTGCTTACGCTGTGTTGGGGGTCCGACTCCTCAGTGCTGATTGGTGCTAGAGATGAGAAACAGCCCTTCCCGCTGCCTAATTTTAGCTCTCCACCTTGAGGCCCCACATTGCCAGTTGCCATGGTGATCCCTCACCGCCGGCACTGCCTCTGGCTTTCTCGACCAAGGGCGCTTTGGAAATGTCTCTTTTTCCTCCTTGCTCCCCAGGAAGCAACACCTAAGGCAGAAGCATTGCATGTGGCTCGCTGCACTGTCAGTTCAGGTCTTCTGCTTGGCGCTTGCCTGTTTGTATGCAAGAACCCTTCATCCATGGGGTTACACTTCCCAGCCCCCCGAAAGCAGCATGCGTTCCCATCCCCAATTGGCAGACAGTCTGGGCTATGTGCACGTGATGCTGCCCGGCTGCCCTGAGTTTCTGGCCCGTGAGCCATAGCAAACAGCTTTCTCCATGGTCTTTGCCCGAGAAGATGTCTGAGGAGGTTGTGCCTCTGCAGAGGCCACGGGGTGAAGAGTCAGGAGTGCCCCTGTGCCATGGCAGATGCTTGGAGTCCAGGCGCTCCTGCCCTGGCTTCATGCTCACCGCCTTCCCACTTGCTCTCTGGCTAGCAAAGGAGTAATTAAAAGCATTGCCCAAATGGAGAGAGCTTGGGCATCTCACCCAAGGCCGAAGAGGGGAACTGCCTTGTCACGGCTTGCGGTGTAAATGCCACCATGCAGCAATTAATAACGATTCTCTGCCCTTTCCCTTCCGCCTGCCCGAGCACACTGTGCACAGGGACAAGTGACACTTCCCAAGCCCACAGTGACAGAAAAGGCAATGGCAGCTTGCAGGGAGGAAGCAGTGTAAAAAACATGATTCCAGCCCCCAAATCCTGAAATCAATTTAAGAGCTATGGCATTTAAACACATAATACACTGTGGAGTGTTTTGGGGGTTTTTTTTGATGACCTGGCATTTAAACTTTTGCAGTTCACATTTTCAAGCTTTTACATGGCAGGTGCAAGGACAAGCTATTCAATACGGAAGTGGCAGCTGCCATCCCCGCTTACTCATATGACTCCAGCAGATGGAGCTTTATAAAGAATAAACATGACAAGGTCCAAGGTAGGATCAGAATAGCTATCACAAGAAGCTAGTTGGGCTGGTAGCATCTGGGAGGTTGCCAGAGAATCAGGATTGAAGATTATAAAGCCTCATTCGCAGACCCCCACTGTACTCTTCATTCATCCATCGCTGTCTCTGTTACACTCCCAGTTACGCACAGGAGATTCAGGCATTTGCCGGGAAGGTGGCCGGGAGCTGCTAGAGCAGGGAGCTCCCACCCTGCAGTATGCTGTGAACCACCTCAGAGCCGTGTGGCGATACCAAGCGGTAGCGGTGGCAACTGCTAACTTCATCTGTGTGCAGGCTGTCAGAGGAGAGTGTTTTCTGGCTCTTGCAGGAGGTGAAGGCAGGATCTGCAGCAGCAGCTGCTAGTGCCTGGCAGAGGAGCACACCTTGACCTGTGAAGCAGCCGCAGTGGGTCAGGTTGCAGGTGCAAGGTGGGTAGATGTAGGCTAGGAGAGGCGATGTCTGGTGAAGAAAGGAGGTGAGGTTCTTGGGGATTGGGGGGGGGGGGGGCGGCATACGAGTAGAAGAGGCTATGGTTTGTAGATTGTCGATAGAGAAAGTACAGTTTGTGGGGTGAGCACTGCAAGGATGGGGGGCACAGGGGGCTGAGTTACTGCTCTGGGAACTGGGGTGGAAGCTGAGAGCTGCTTTCACTAAAGGTGGAGCCAGCACCCAGCCTGGTAGCTCCTGCCATGGCCGCTGCTGCCAGGAGGGAGGATGAGCAAGCTGAGTCTGAAAAACCCTGTGCCAGAGTGAGAGGGCAGGCAGGCAGAGTAGCTTGATTTCTTTCTTTCTCTGTCAAACCCCTGGGGTGGAGACAGCCGTGCTGGGATGTGGCAACCAGTTCCAACCCACTGCCAGCCTAGGACAGCTTAACAACAAAGCAGCAACCACCAAACCGTCTTGCTTTGATTAATAAGAAAAATCAGAATATCATGGCTCTCTAGCCTGGCAGGAGGCAGGTTGTCCTCAGAGGCTGTTCTGGCGGTGTCCCCCTGCCGGCATCCCTGCCCCAGGTCCCAGTGGGAGAGCTGTGGGACGGCTCCTGGGCTCCGGCGCTACAGGGGAGGGAGCTGTGGCCAGGACAGCCGCGTCGCGGGCCTGGTTTCCAGCGAGCTGGCGAGGGGAGAGGAGTCTTGCAACTCGAGCTCGGTTCCTGCGGACGCCTGCCGAGGCCGGCTGCGGTTGCAGCAGTGCAATCTCAACTCAGGAGGCAAGAGCCAGGTTTGGCATTGGTGGGCACGGCCGGGAGCCTGCTGCTGGCAGTCCTGCCTGGCCATGGGTAAGGAGAGGCAGAGTACTGCCATCTATTGCCAGGCACCGAGATTACAGACCTTGGTGGGTGGCGGTTCAAAGCCATGTCTAGCTCTTTTTTTTCCTGGTCTTTGGTTCGGTGAAGGGGTGGGCGCGTTGTTTGAAACCCTTTAAATAGATCAGCACTTAGGTGCCTACAGTGCATTTTAGGTGTGGGAGTGCCCTAGCCAGACTCCAGCCTGGGAGAATTTGGTTTTCCTTTGTGCTTTTTGCAAAATAAGTTATTCTTCCTTTCTTGCCCTAAGTTGTGTGAGGTTTGCTTTGTGCAGTGAAGCACTCATGTTGCTCCATCCCACCCCAGAAGCGCCTAGATAATGTACTCCAGCCCTGCACCAGAAGGCAACTAAGGAGAGGTGAATGCAGCAGAAGGGGCAAAGTGTCTTTCATAGCTCAGAAACAATATGTGAAAGGAGGACGAAGGGGCAGAGGGAGGATAACAGACTGTCTTCATGGGGTGAGCGGGCCTGGGACACGGTGTATGTTTCTGAGCTAAGACTGGTGTGTCTGAATGCTGTATTTTTATTTTACAGGATAAGCAGCGAGATAGGAACATTTGCAGAGAGTAGGAAAGGTGTTTGTCGCTATGCGAACCTGGAGGGAATCCTGCTATGCTTTGAAAAGACCTTCTTGGGCTTCATGACTGTGCAGTAGGCCAGCAGACAAAATATTCTGAAGATGGGGGCAAAGTCATTCGGAAAATGATCTGGCTGTCACTGTGGGCTGTTCAGTAAAGACAACAACTCACTGTGAAATTGTGGTTTAAAAGCAAAACAAAAAGAAGAAAATTAGGATAAAGAAGCAATAGGAGAAAAAATGTGCTCAGCATTTGTTATTAAATGTATCAATAACGCTTGCTCGTCAGGCAAATTCTGCTCCTTTTTGATCACCTACTTTTAAAAGTATATGATGGAGGTACAAAGATACCACAAATGAGAAGAGGTTACAAATAATACTCAGATGAGAAGGTAAAAAACCCTTTGTCTATTAGAGAGAAGAGTCACAGCCTATCCCACTGATTATTTTACATTCCTGAGTCTTCTGTCTCTGATACAAAACTATTGAGGAAGCCAGTTGGTGAGCCTGAACCAGATACTTAACTTCCAGGTGGAAAACGTTAGATGAAATGAGAGTCACAAAGGAAATTAATGACAAAGTAGGGAATTAAACCAGGGTCTCCAAAGTCTGAACCCCTGGAACAGTCTTCTCTTTTAAAAGTCTTAAAAAAAAAAAAAAAGACATTAAACTGATAAAAGTAAATGGTGGTTTTATTGAAAACATGATTAACCTGTGGAAGTCTTCCCTGCTAGGTGTCACCAGTTTGGGAACGCAGTGGGACTCAGAAAAAAAGGATTCAACAGTTATGTGAACAACAAGAATACTTGCAATGACTTTAGCTGGGAGAAAACTGTAAAGCGTATAAATTGTGCTGCAGGGCATAAGTCAACTGCTGGCTGTCAGGGACCAGGAAGAAATTTTCTCTGTGAGAAGGTTACTGTATAATTACCTATGACAGTGTTTCTTCCTTTGAAGTGTATAATCTTGACCAGTGGAGGCAAGATAATGGGTCTTGTAGTTTTGTGAGGTTTTTTTGTGACAGGGGCATTATCTGGTGCCTGATGGCGATTTCTTCTGTCTGTTTGGTATCACACCTTTCTCCAGGGTTATATTCACCACCTTCTTAAATGTCTCAAGCAAATACATTTCTGCTCCCTACCCTCCATGAAAAAAATTTTTAAGATGGCAGTCCTTGACATGAGCGAATTATTCTTGCCATTCGTGCTAGGCTTTCTCTTGCTCATGGTTGCTCCAGCTCTTCTAGGTGATTTTCCAGGAATGACCTCAAGGAAGCTCTCTATCGCTGGGGCTGTAGCCCTAGTTCTTGTGTCTGCTCCTGGTTATTGTCTGGGCTGTCCATCTATTGCAGTCATGTCTCTTGTTCTGTAATCTGTGCCTTATCACCTTGGTGCTCTTTGGTCCAGTCTAGAAGTTAAATGTGTTATTTTTTAAAGCTGTGTTGCTGCTCTTCCGGGTAACTTGATGTATTTTGTGTCTTTTACTTTGTACCTTGCAGGAAGAACCAAGGAGCAAATCCAAGATCTGTGCCAATGTTTTCTGCGGAGCTGGGCGGGAGTGTACAGTGACAGAGAAGGGAGAGCCAACCTGCCTCTGCATTGAGGTAGGAGGGCGGCACAGCTTCTGTGTCTGGGATGGGTGTCACCACCACCACCGCCACCCCCCATCTGGGTTTCGGTTGCTGGAAGAATCCCATGATGGGATGAGGCTATGGCTGTTCTGGAGCAGCTGCAAATTCCCAGTGGCTCTTCAAACAGCAGGGCTTTTCCCAGTGAGGTGTGGGGGAAGAGCCCTATAGGGCAGATATTGTCTGGGGCTTGCAGCTGTGCTACTCGCACAACTGCCTAGGGTCTTTACATGCACAGGAGACTTGGCTGGAGGTCTTTTGTTGGGAAAGCCCAGTGGGGTATTGATATGCAGCTGGCTTTGGAAGGCACTATAGGGCGTGGTCTGCGAGCTCCAAGACACCTGCCTTCACTGGTGTCTTGTTTGGGGAGGTTACAAGCACCCTACTAAAAATCAGCTTTTGTAAAATGGAAATAATTGTGGTAGAGTGCTGTGAGGATGAATAGCTCCATCCAGCAGGGAGCTGCAGATGATTAGAAGAGCCTTTCCCAGCTGTAGAGACACAGTGTCTCCATACTCCACTCTGCCCCGTGCTTTCGAACCATTCCTGCCTGGCTCCTGGGAATGGGTGTGAGGCTCTTTGTTCCCACTTCCCTCAGAGCCTGCAGCTCCGATGCGGCCAGCCTGGGCACTGGAGAGTGAAATGCACTGTTAACAGGAAGGGAGTCTGTCGCTCTGGGTAGGCTTGGCCAGACTGAAAGGGACACAAGAAAGAAGCTCACAGCCTGAACAGTGGCCCTGGTAAACTTTCCCTCTGCTGTAGGCTGTGCTGTTTGCTCATGGCTGATGGCTTATTCTACATTCGGTTGCAGAAAGGTGGAGCAGAGTCTACAAAGACATGCAACAGAGCTGAGCAAGCAGAGGTGCACAGAACAGATTCACAGAAACACCTCTGGACAGGCACATCCATGGTACACAGAGCAGCACTTGCGGGATTACACTCAGTATTTATGCTGGTGTTGTGGTTTAACCCCAGCCAGCAACTAAGCCCCACACAGCCGCTTGCTCACTCCCCCCGCAGCGGGATGGGGGAGAGAATCGGAAGGGTAAAAGTGAGGAAACTCATGAGTTGAGATAAAGACAGTTTAATAGGTAAAGCAAAAGCCGCGCACACAGGGAAAGCAAGATAAGGAATTCATTCACCAGTTCCCATCGGCAGGCAGGTGTTCAGCCATCTCCAGGAAAGCAGGGCTCCATCACGCGTAATGGTGACTTGGGAAGACAAACGCCATCACTCCGAACGTCCCCCCCCTCCTTCTTCTTCCCCCAGCTTTATATGCTGAGCATGACGTCATATGGTGTGGAATATCCCTTTGGTCTTCTTGTGCACCCCCAGCCTACTCGCTGGTGGGGTGGTGTGAGAAACAGAAAAGGCCTTGACTCTGTGTAAGCACTGCTCAGCAATAACGAAAACATCCCTGTATTATCAACACTGTTTTCAGCACATACAAGCTACTATGGAAAAAAATTAACTCTATCCCAGTCAAAGCCAGCACAGCTGGGCACTGATTTCTCTGCTGGGCTCTGCTTTCAGGAAGGCTCTTGTGGTGGTGGTGGTGACGGAGGCTGGGATAAAGTGAAGCCTTTGAACCCACACCCACGGGCTCCTCTGTGTGGGTTTTTTTGGGGTGGCGATGGGAGTGTTCAGCCTGCTCCAAACACCTTTTGGGCTAAGAGGTCTGTGCCAAGGGCTTCTGTTGAGTTGGGCTGATGCTGGGACTCACCTGCCTCCCTCTAGCTGTCCCAAAGAGGCAGGTACAATGCTGTCTTCTCTGGCTCTCTCACAGCAATGCAAACCTCACAAGAGGCCTGTGTGCGGTAGCAATGGCAAGACGTACCTGAACCACTGTGAGCTGCACCGTGATGCCTGCCTCACTGGCTCCAAAATCCAGGTGGATTACGATGGCCACTGTAAAGGTAACCCTGTGTCAGGGAGCAATGAGGGCCTGCTGCTCTCTAAGGGAGGGAGAGATGGGAGCCAAGCGTGATAACAAGGCAAGGCAGAGGTCTCGCCGGCCAGGACCCTGTACTACAGTTGCAGATCAGGGTAAACAGGGCAAGCCTGGAAACAGTAGCCAGGTTCAACCAAGAGTCCAGATCACCAGGCAAGTTTGTGGTGATGAAGTAGGCCTGAAGTCAAGCCATGAAATCAGGTCAGGATCAGTTCTGGTGATGGTAACCAGGATCAGGCACACGCCAATAATTGCTAGACAAGTCCATACTGATGCAGTCTATAGCAGGTCTGAGACCAAGGTGGGAAGACAGTCACCAGGTCAGGGCCTAGATCAACAGGGTCTATGGCAGGTATGGGAATGGTTGCAACAGAGCTGGAGACAGGCATACCTGCAACATAATCCCAGGCAAGGACTAGGGGCCAAGACGTCAGCTGAAATGGAGCTCCTGGGCTCATGGGTAGAGAGTGTGAATGGAGGCCCTAGGTGAGGTTGGCAGGGCCATTAAGGCCCTCATTAGTGCACTCAGGTCCCTGACACCTTGGCTGTGGCGGGATCTTGGAGCTTCTGTCTCCCTGGGTTGCTGGGAGGGCAACTTCTTGCTCCTGCCTGCCTCGCTCTGAGCTCATGGATTCAGCCAGGCAGGTCTCTCAGTCTACCTGCTGGGGAAAGGTCGGACTCTTGGGATAAACCCCCAAAGTCCATACGACCATCCATGTTCATGAGGGACCTCAAGAACTTTAGGAGCAAGGATTTTGTCTCAACGGTGGGGCCGTTTAACTCACCGCTACACCAGCTGCACAGTATAGAAGTGTTTCCTTATGTTCAGACAGAATTTCATGTGTTTAAATAATGTGCCTGCTGCCTCTTGCCCTGTCACTGGACACCACGGAGAAGAGTCTGGCTCAGTCTTCTTCATTCCCTCCCATCAGATTTATAAACACTGATGAGATTGCCCCTGAGCCTTCTCTTCTTCAGGCTAAACAGTCCTCAGTCTCCCCTCGGGGTGACAGATGTTCCAGTCCTTTAATCATATATGTGGCCCTCATGTTTCCAAAGACTCCCAGGTTCCTCTGCTCTTGCCCAAGCGGCTCCCGGGGTGGGAAGAGGTTTGTATTGCTTCATGTTGCATCAGAGGTGTGCTCTTCTGTCTTTCCATAAACAGAGAAGAAGTCTGAGAATCCAGCTGCAAGTCCAGGTAAGAAGCCATCCCCTTTCTGGCTGGGGCCTCTGCATGAATCTGGGAAAAGAGATGGGGAGGAAGGTCTGCTGGGGGAGTTGTACAGCTCTGCGTAAAAGTCATACCTCTGCACTGGCTGTAGCAGAGTCTGAGTTGATAAATCAGCTGAAATATGATTGCCCAGCTCTTTACTCCTGGGTAACCTTTCAGAGCTCATACATCTCCTGGGCTCTTCATGTGCTGGGATGTCTCAGGGACTCTCAGTATGTACAAGGTGCAATGAAACGCAGTTTGCCCCTAGGGACACAAGCTGTGTTCATCACCCAGACTGAGGGGTATCTTTTGCATAATTCATTGGGGATCTAAGACACAATAACTGTGGAGTTATGTCCCCAACTCCAAGAGCACTCTTTTGAAAGGAGACTTCGCTTCAGGAGTGATTAACCGGTGGGCACAGGGGCAGAGAGACAGCGCTATGTAATGGATGGTGCATCGTCAAGGGAGTCAGGAGGTGTAGCTGAACCTCTTCTCCCATCAGCCAACAAGTCTCTTCAATTCCCTGTGCCTGGTTTCTCCCCTTATGCATTGTCTGGTGTACTTAAACTATGGATTTTGGGGCCATGGCCTGTGCTTCATCAGGGGACCCTTTTCCCATCCATGGCCTCTAAGTGCTGGAGCTGTATAATCATCAACTTCAGCTTCCTAGGACAGATGAGAGCAAACCTTCGTACAAGCTTAAGGGAAAGGACCATGTCAGGGCATGGCCACCACCTTAAAGCAGTTTTAAGGAAGTTCAAAATTCAACATGCAGAATCCTTACAGGTTGTTTTTTTTTTCCCATCTGTCTGTCTGGTTGTGATTGTAGTCGCTGGATTAAGAAGGAGATCTTTAGTGTGTGTAAGTGACATGAACACACACCGATTTCCCTTCTGGCTCCATTGACCTCTGGGCAGGTGTGACAACTCACATAAGCCAGAAGATCTAGGCTTTCAGTTTTGCTTGTAAATGCATGGTTTGGTACTAGCACACAAAGTGATATCCACCTAAAGAAACCTGTGACTGTGGAGAGCACTGTGAACAAGCCCAACTTGACCCCCTCTCATTTCCAATCAGAGTGGACAAGTCAGGGCTTTGAAGAAATGAAATCTCCTGAGATAGTAGGCCCTAAAATTCAAGTCTTGGGGACAGCGTGGTGGAAAGGCTTGCTCAGTCTAGTCTTTGCCCTTGCAGAGGATGGAGGTTTTGGTACTTGAGGGTTGATGGCCAAATGCCTGTTCTGCACAGGATTGGGAAGCCTGGGGACACTGTCAGTCACCTTCCTCCCTCAGTCTGGGAACTCTTCACACCAAGATGAGTCAGCTCTGGATTGTTCTTGCACAAGCTTCAGGGACGGGAAGGCAGAAGAGCTTTGGCAGAAGTGTCGTTTTCTGGCCTTGCCACATGGTGTCACCCACAGCCCATCTGCCGTTCAGCACGTGGCACCTCTGCTTTGATCTGGCAGTGGCACATCTCCAAGGATGGAGGGGCCTGCAAACTGCCATTAGGGCTGGCTGGTTGGCTTTTATGTCCAGTCGTCTCTCTGTGGTCTCCCTGCCAACTTCATTTCTCTCATCCTTGCTTTTTCTTCTGCTACACCTTCTCCCATTACAGTTGTCTGCTACCAGTCTGACAGGGACGAGCTTCGTCGCCGCGTCATCCAGTGGCTGGAAGCTGAGATTATCCCAGATGGCTGGTTTTCCAAGGGCAGCAACTACAGTGAAGTCCTGGACAAGTATTTCAAGGCAAGTAGAGCAGCACCTGCCTCAGAGGCCAGAGAATATTTCTCGCCCTGTCACTGCAAAGCAGCTGCCATGCCCCCACCCAAGAGGCTCCAGTGTGTGATGGGCCTGTCAAGCTGGGGGCCAGAGAGGTCTGGTATGTCCTGCAGTGTGGTGTGTTACGGGCTGCCTGCAGCAGCTGCTGACAGAGCCATTGACATGGCTACATGACAGCCCAGACCTGGAGCGTCCCTGGGGATCTGACCTGCCCTGGGGAAAAGGAGGAGGGCAGGCCGAGTGTGCCTGTGGCAGGGGAGAGAAGAACTGATCTCAGGGTACAAAAAATAGCCGGAGGAGAAAAGGTGGGTGAAAGTGCTGGAAATGCAGGTAGAAGGAGCAGGAAACCGGGGCAGGGGCTGCTGATCCTTTGTTCCAGACAGTCCCAAGGCCATGTTGAGGTGGGGATAGGGGACACTTGGGGGCTTCAAGGTGAATATTTGCTTGCAAGGAGTATGGCCCAGTTGTGGCTGAGAGCTGGCAGTTCCCTAGCACTCTGCAGAGAGAGAGAGGAACTGCCCGTGAGTCTCGGGCCCTGCACTAATCCCGTTCCCCTTCCCTCCTCCCTGTCAGTCTGTCCCTCAGCCCATCCCCACACCCTTCTGTAACCAGCAGACCACACGCTTCTCCCATGCTCCTGCAGCATGCACTGCTGCGTCCCTCCCCCTCACGCCCAGCTCCTGATAAAGACTTCAAAGCATTCAGGATGGAGCTGGAGGAGCAGGTGGGGAAAGGGGGAGAGTGTTTAAATCATAAGCTGTTGACAGCAAGAGATTAATGGTGCCTGACAGGAGTTAGCGCTGCAAGCAAATTTGCCATGGCAATGGCACCCCCTGGTGAGATAGAGGAGCTGGTCCCCGCACCCCAGAGAGCATCTATGCCTTTGTAGTCGTTAATGCTGCTCCGTCTGCAGAAACCCACTTGTGGCCCACTGCCTCAGGCACCCCCACCGGCACCTGCCAGCACCCAAAAGCTGCGGCATCCTGCGGAGGGGAGCTGCGCACTCCCTCCCCCTGCAAAGGTGCTGTCCCCAGCCGCCTTTGCAGTCAGTCTTCCCCGGGCCATGGGCTTTGCTGAAATGCATGAGCCAGCCACTGGCTTGCTCCACTGCCACCGCACCCACTCCGGTCACCCCCGCTGGTCCCATGCCTGTCGGGGCACTGGCGAAATCCCATGGCCACAGCTTAGAGGCAGACAGCCTCATGTTCTCTTTATTGTCCCCCTTTTTCTGGAGCACTGATCCCAGGCACAAGTGGGTGAAAGTTTCCATGACAAAGCTATACCTTTTCTCAGACCAAAGGGGGAATTTCCTTCTCTGTCAGGTGGTAGTACACCATATCAACAACCCTTAAAGCTTTGAAATACTTTTAAAGCAGAATTCAGAGCTTGGAGCAACTTGGGACAAATACAAGCAAAGCAAACTAAATGGGTTCAAACACACAAATTTGTTTCACCAATGAGACTCCGCTGTAGCTGGAGAAATTCTGCCGTGCCCAGCCCTGGGGCTTCTCGCGCTGCCCTTCAAATGGCCTGATTTCTGCCCTGCAGGTAGTAAACACTGGAGACAAAGATGACATGAAGCTTTTCCCTTTTCTCTCCTCTGGGGAGGTTTGTAGATGTGGCATTAAGCTGTTTCCCTCCTGGAAGCCTGACTTGTGTGGATCACTGGGATGTGGGTTGTACATCAGGCAGGCCTTGACTTTGGAGGACGTTATTTCAAGAGGAGTGAGGCCAGTAGTGGGAAGCTGCTCTGTTTTGGAGGGTCACTGGGGGAACATGTAAATGCATACCATAGTATTGAAAGGCAAGAAAACTAGCTTCACTGAGTCTGGGTCATTAAGGGAACTGCAGACACTTCCACAAGAAATAGCGGGACGAGAAGCTTTAAAGTCTAGTAGAAGTTGAAACATGTTAGCGGGGCAGTTATACACAGGCTACAGCATGCAGAGTAATTTTCCTGGCCCTACAGGTTTCTCCTGAACCACACAGAGGTCACAACAGGCAGTGTCTCTTCCAGCATTCCTGGAAGCACTGCACGAGGAGACACAGTGACCTGCCCCAAGTCACACAGCAAAAATTAGCCAGCAGCAGCCTGTGTGCAGAATTCATTTTCCCCTCCCTGCAATGCAGCTGTCTCTGAGGGGGCCCAGCAGTTCCTGCTGAGTGCCCAGCACTGTGAGATGACATCTCCAAACAGGAAGGCAAAATGCAATTACTTCTTTGGGAGTACAGCCAGGATTTCAGGGCTAAAAATCCTGCTCTTCAGTGCCAGGAGTCCTGTCAGGACCTTAAGAAGTTGGTGGCGAGGTGTTGTGCTGTCGCATTAAATTGTTCCTTCTTTGGGATCAGCAGAAAATTGCTTCCTGTGATTTTCCCTTTTGTCACTGTCACAGTCCAGGCACAGCTTTGGATTTACACGTATTGGAAAGCTGACACCTCCTTGAATGCAACTGGTCTGCTTTAAGACAGGCGGTATATAAGAAGGCTAAGAGTTGGCTGGAACAAAGAGAAGAAATGGGGTTAGAGCCATAAATCAAGCAGCAGGAGGTGAATGAGAGGCAGTGTAGCTTATCGGTGAGAACAAGGCTAGGATCATGTCTCCCAGTTCTGATGCTGCTATGGATATGTTGCTGCTTTTTTCTGAGCCTCTGTTCTTTGTGCAAAACAGGGATGATGCAACCTGTTTCACTAAAGCTTCAAAAATGCTAAGTACATATGGAAGAAGGAGAAGGAAGGGGTACCCTGAACTGATAAATCAGACCCTCTCACATCTTCCCATCTTTCCCTACAGAGCTTTGACAATGGCGATTCTCGCTTGGACTCCACTGAATTCCTGAAGTTTGTGGAGCAGAATGAGACTGCTGTCAACATCACCACCTATGTGGACCAGGAAACCAACAAGCTGCTCAGGTGGGCAGCGGACAGGATATCAGAAGGAGGACCAGGGGGCCAGATGTGGTAGAAGGGGGCATGAAAATCCACTCATGGAAAATACCAGTTAGGTCTTGGACTAACAAAGATAACTGTGTATGAAGTGGCTTCTCACTTAATTAGGTGCAAATACCACCAAAAGGAGCGGTCCAACCCCTACCCTTCACGTTAGGCGGGTATTCCAACCCTCTTTTGCCTTAAATGTAGTAGGTGTGCAGCCAGAAGGTGAGTTGGGTGACGGAAAATTTGTTGTCTTTTTTATTTCCTAATAAATTAGCTTTCCAGTGGACTTTAATCACCTCTTGCCTGGTAGCTAGATCCAGTGCAAGGAAGATGGGGGGAAAACACAGCTCATGGGCAGCCTGCAGTTAGAGCTGGTGCAAGCATCGCATGAAAATGTAGTTTGAGAGGTTTCCATTTTTCTGTGTGTGCCCCACTGTGTATGAGACTGAGGAGAACAGGCTGCTTGTGGTTAGGCTGTGCTTGCATCTGTACTCATGTAGATGTCAACAGGGTCCTATTCTTGCTGTTCTGAATATCTCCTCAGTTCCCGGCCCATCGACAGCCAAGAGAGTATTTTGTGTCTGTTTTTCTTTTGTCTATATGCAGTGAGGTTTCCTTAGAGAAGCCACTTCTGCCAGGCATCTCAGAGTCTTCCTAGTTATTACCGGTTTCACTCATCTGTACTCTGAAGCCAGTAGAGCAGGGACCTGCCTGGTACAGACAGCCCTGTGCAGAACATGCCTCTGTGTTTCCTTCCAGGGGACTCTGCGTAGATGCCCTCATCGAGCTGTCGGATGAAAATGCTGACTGGAAGCTCAGCTTCAATGAATTTCTCAAGTGCCTCAGCCCATCCTTCAACCCACCAGAGAAAAGTAGGAACTCCTCATTATATTGGGGAACCAGAGGGGTCCTGGGAAGGGAGGAAAGCAAAGAGACCAGCTTTGGGCCAGACATCGGATGCTGTAACTCCACTCCCAAAGATAATGTTGATATATGCCTACCTCACAACTGACAGCACCCCTTGTCCCTGCATTGTCAAAAGTACTGTTTTTCTGTCCCAGAGCTCCCACAGCTCTTGTGATGAAAAAGGTTTGGATTTTAGAAGCAAGGGCATAGGTTGAACAGATATGGTATGCTTGGAAGGTCAAGGCATGTATTTAACAGCACGGAGCTAAATCATGTGAGGAGTTCACGTCTGGATAACTTAGGAAAGTCAGACCAGACCAAAGTCCTGCGATGCTCTGCCTTTCACACAGAGAGCCTCCGTGATGAACATCTCAAAGTTCACTACCCTTCCAAATGCTGCTTAGTACTACAGTTCACATGGAAGCAGCTTAGTGTTCTGCTGACCAGGCGTGCCTAGCCATTCATCTAATTGTCTCCTCAGGGGGTGCTGGTTCAAAGGTGCTGGATTTACATCCCACTGCAGTGGCACCGAGGAGCAGACAGAGGCTATGCTTCTTAGGGAATATTAAGTTGAATTCTCTGTTGCCTATTTCAATGGGAAGCTAGGGATGCTGCACCTCCCCCAGAAAACATGATCAGCTGGCTTTCACTTAACACCATATGGGCCCTTGAGTTCTTTGGGGGCCTCGACTTAAACGTATAATAGAGCTGTGAGAAGAAATGTGAGTTGAAATGAGAAACTCCCCCCCCCCCCTTCTTTCTCAGGGCAAC